TAAGTATCTTATGATTTCTACTATAAATAAAGTTATTTAAGCAATATCTTAAATGTTATTTTTATAATATATTTTATTTTATAGAATTTAGATGCTATTAAACGATTGGGGGAAGAATGTCTTCCCAAAGCTGAATTTTACATAAATGTCAATGAGGCAACTACTAGATCTTATAGAATTGCCACACCCTCACAGTGGGCAAGATATATCTTATTATTTAATAAAATCTATAGAAACATTTGAGATTGAAAAAAATATTTTAGCATTAATGCATGATAATGCTAAAAATATGATTAGTGCATCAGATTTAATCATTAAACATTACATGGAAAAATATAGTATACCATTTTATAGCCATAGATGCCTGGCTCACGTTATTAATATTATAGTTAAAGAAGGACTAAATATTTTTGATGCAAAATTAGAAAAAATTCATAAATTGGTAAAATCACTTCACCTTTCTCCTAAGCTAATGCAAAGTTATATCAAAATCTCGGGTGGTACTAACTACTCGACATGGTCACTAGGTGGAATTCTAAGTATCTTATGATTTCTACTATAAATAAAGTTATTTAAGCAATATCTTAAATGTTATTTTTATAATATATTTTATTTTATAGAATTTAGATGCTATTAAACGATTGGGGGAAGAATGTCTTCCCAAAGCTGAATTTTACATAAATGTCAATGAGGCAAAATATTTAAAGGAAATCGAAATCTTCCTTAAACCATTTTTCCAGATTACATGTGAAGTTTCATCGGAAAGTACAACTATTGGGACAGCGGTTTTATTCGTCGCTTAGATGGGGAATTTTTTAGAAGAAACATCTAATTCACATGATAATGAGGATATCAAAAAAGCAGCTAAATTGATGCTGACTAAATGTGAGGCCTACGAAGGCTTTTTTTGTACCCTAACAAATTACATATCTAGCTTTCTAGATCCTAAAACAAAATAAAAATATATGCCAAAATGCATATTAAATAAAAAATATGACAAAGAATTCAATGAAATTCACAAAGTTTATGCCTGGCCAACATACCAAGCAACTGCTTATGAGTTTACTGATGATATTGACTCACAACCTTACTCAGTTATTATTCATAATAAGCTGCGAAAGTAAATATAAATACTTAGAAATATAATTGACCTTGTATTTTTATATTTATTTTCAGAGAGGCTATTGATAACCCAGATCCCACGAGAGATGAAATCGTGGAATATCTCAAGGAGCCCGTTGCGCCTGCATCAACAAATATATTGGATTGGTGGGCAAAGAACGCCGAAACATATCCCACTTTGTCGTTAATGGCTAGGGATTATTTAGCTCAACAAAGTACAAGTGTTGCAAGTGAGAGGACTTTCAGCAGGGCGGTTGATTGTATGACAAAAAAAAGAAATAGGATGGCTTCACAAACCCTAAAACAATGCCTGTGCCTGAGTTATTGGAACGTAGATCTTTTGGAATAAATGTAAATATTAATGTATACTTTGTTGTGATTGTGTTTAGACCATTTTAACATATATTTAGTCCGAATAATATTTTTTTAAACTTTAAACAAGAATTTTACCTTCCCTCCCCTCTCCCAAAAAAATTGTAAAATTTAATGATTATTTAATTCTTCCAATATATCTTTATATTTATTTTGAAGCTTTCCGGAAGAAAAAGATTTGGCAAATGAAGATGAACAAGACGATATTTTTATATATTTTATTCGATTTTTTAATATATTTTATTCGATTTTTTTATTGTAATTGTATAATTTTATTTACCATGATTTATAAAGATTTAAATAAATAAAATGAAAAAATTTCAAAGCGGACTCGACTAAATTTGAGTTATAATTTTTTTTAATAGACAAGCCCTTACTGTTTTGAAGAAATCAATAAATTACTAAAATTCAGGTCATTATTTCAGGAAAAAAAAGAAGATAGTTTGGGGTTCATAAATTCTATGAGTTTTTTAAAAAAATATATATCAATTAAACATCTTAATCCTCAAAATTTGCCTCTTATTACCTCATCCTTGAAGATTATAATCTTTTATATTTCAATTTCAATCAGAGGTAATAATAAATACGACAATTTACATACATAACGTTTTTTCAAACGGTTTTTGATGTTACGAGCAACCTTTTTTTATTTCCAATAATTTTATAGGAATTGATTTTTTCGATTAAGTTCATGTTATCAAAATTTCCGTTATAAAGAATTTAAAAATCCTGAACCTAAATTAAACCCTAATTTTTGGTAATCTAGCAGATATTTTTATCTTTTAATAATTAAATGTTAAGATATAGACATTTCAACTTTTTTCACGAACAAATTTGAGACCATATTTTTTACCCCCGCTCCCAGATCAAAATTATATACACCATATAAAGGTAGAACTATACTTATTTGATACCCATCCATTTAGTTAAGTCGATTTTAAGATCCAAGCCCCTACAAAACCAACCAATAAATAACAGTTATATGATAAGTAATAGAGTTTCATAAAATTTAAATTAACCTATCCTATTTATTGAGGTCACGACTCAAGTTCAGAACTCAAGTAGTAAAAATGATTCGAATTATTGATACTTCGACACGGAATCATGATTACTCGACTATCTAATTTTAGATTTAGAAAACAAAAATATCGTAATTAAAAATAACTAATTTGAAATATATTAGAGTCTAGTCGATCAAATTTATATAACTATTCGTCCTCTAATTGACTCAAGTATATCTATTTACGACTCAAGTAGGAAGTTTAAAATAAAAAAATTATATCTTATTTAATAATTAATTTGAAATATTCGTCCTCTAGTCGTCGACTCAAGTTCATAAAACTATTCGTCCTCTAGTCGACTCAAGTATATAGTTCACAACTTGAGTCGACTTTAATTCACGACTCAAGTTCATAACTCAAGTTCATAAGTTCACGACTCAAGTTCATAACTCGAGTCGTAAAAACAAGTCGACTTATCGACTCAAAACTCGACTTGAGTCGTAGTTAAGTCGACTCGGCTGAGTCGTTTAACAACACTAGTTTTAGCATCAGCATCAATGTAATCAATCGATATCCTTATGTAGATATATCATGCTAGGATATTTTTATCACCCAACTCTACCATACCCACTCTGCAGAGATCAATATTATAATCAATTTATCGTTTTTTTGATACCTATGTTGAGATATTATATGAAATTTTACCCCCCCCCCCTTTTCCACCTCCTTTACCTACTTCGAAGACGTGAAGTGATAAAAATCAATTAAATCTCCTTTTAGCTTTCAATTTGATACCCATGTCGAAATAATATAAGAAAATTTTGATACCTCACCCAACCTACTGGAGAGATGAGTATCAATATAATCAATTTATCTTAGTAGCTTTCATTTGTCAGGATATGTTAAAAATTTAATCCCCCCCCCCACTTATGACCTAGACCTGAGAGCATAGATTAATAAAACTAAATGACTCATTTGATTAACTTTAATTTGAAAATATATTTACTATAATAGCAAAAATTTCTGAGAAAGTTCTTAAAAAATCAAATTTTTTACTTTGCAAAATCGTCTTTGTTTTAAGAAAAATATCTTAGATTTTTTATTGAGCTATTAAGTAAAAAATCTGAGCGTTTAAGTTTTTATTATGTGGGAAATAAATTATTTTGGCTAATGTCATAAATTAAAAGCGGCGAAATCAAGCCATTTAACAAGACTAGTTTCGGCTAACCAATATATTTAAAAATACCAATACAATGATAGCTTTCATTTGATGCCCATATTAAATATTTAATAAATATTTGAATACCTTCCGAAAGTGTAACATTATAGTTAAAAATTATTTTAATGACCATTTATTTGATAATTTTTTAGATTTTAACCACCTTCCCTCCTTCCCAGGTCCAAACTATTAAGACCAGAATGAATACTAATATTTAAGTCAAAATATTTTTAAATTAGCGTTATTTGATACCCCTATCGATTTTTTTTGTTGACAAAAATATTTCTTAAAGGCTAGAACCCGCTCACAAGGGAAAGGATGAATTCCAGTTAGATATATTTTTTGATTAACTATAGATTGATATCAATATTGGACATTTTTATTTTCATAAGGCCAAGAAAGAACAACTTTAAATATAAATAATAATAAAATTAAGATAAATAAGCGAAATGCGCGTAAAACATGTTCCCCTTTAACCGTTATAATTCTGGATACTTCTGATCCATTTAAAAATTAAGTAATTATACAATATTTTTTATGCTATACATAATTTCATAATAATAATAAATTAATAAAAGGAACCAAAATTCAATTACGAGTCACGTTCATCAAGTGTTGTTAAACGGCTCGATTAAGTCGATTTTTAATAACGACTAATTCAGTATCTTAGCAAAAGTGAATTACCCAAGCTTGGAAATTTTTCCCACAAATGACAGAAAGGTTTAGAAATCTATTGGCGAATTTTCGAAGCTTAGGTAATATATTGGCTAAAATCTTAATTTAATATAGGTGTTTTTAAAAATCAATGAAATCGAGCTGTTTAACAACACTACATTCAATCATAAAAATTGCCCATATTTTGAATGAGATAATAAATTTTAAGAGAATAAAAAACAATATACACTTTATCTTTCTGAAAGTTAACCAGGTTTTTTTGAATAGAAAATATGGTTATTTTTATGACAATGGTTCAAATATAGGTATTGTAAATAAAAATTATTATAAATTTGGGTTAACGGATCGGAGTTATAGTAATGTCTGAAAATATCGGATCGTTGGAAAATTTATGGATCGGCACTATCCTAATTTATATTAAAGGTACATATGTGTTGGAGAGTTAATAATTATATTTGCGATTTGTAAATAGATTATATTTATGTTGTAGAGACTAGAAAGTAGATATCTTTAAAATATTAAAATATATTATTTAAGTTTTCATAAATTATTATTCTCAGTTATTGATAATTTTGCTAAATATATGATATAATATTAATTTATTGATCCAGGACACCCAGATTTTCTCAATCGAATTGATCAATCCATTCAATCTTATAATTCTAATATTCTCACACAACACTTTAGAGGTAAAATCAAATTTATATCAATTATCTACTTACTTATTAATAGTAGATTCAATAATTGATTAAGTTTTTAATTAAAAACGAATTATTTAGCATCACTAATAGATAAAAATAAGCCTATTCTTAGTGTTGTTAAAAAGTCGAGTTCATCCGACTCGTCTCGAGTCATTAGTCGAATATGTCGACTAACTCAAACTCAAGTCGTGAACTTAAGTCGATTCGAGTCGTGAACTCAAGTCGACCCAAGTCGTGAACTCAAGTCGTGACTAGAGGACGAATATTTTATGAACTTGAGTCGTCAACTTGAGTCGACTAGAGGACGAATATTTCAGATTTATTATTATTAATTAAGATAGTTTTTGTATTTTACTACTTTCGACTTCCAACTTGAGTCGTGACTCGTGAATATAATTATATAGTTGAGTCGACTGGAGGACCAATAGTTCTATGAACTTGAGTCGACTAGAGGACGAATATTTCAAATTAGTTATTATTTAAGATATTTGTTGTTATTTACTATTTACGTTAGACCTCCAACTTGAGTTGTGAATACAAAATATATAGTTATTGACTAGAGGACAAATAGTTCTCTGAACTTGAGTCGTCAATTTAAGACGATTAGAGGACGAATATTTCAAATTAATTATTATTTATTTAAAATATTTTTTCTGCTTTTTACATTTTTTTACTTTAGACTTCTAATTTGAATTGTGAAAACTGAAAAGAATTATATAAATGAGTAGATGATGAATATTCCAAATTAGTTATTATGAAAATATTTTTTGTTTTTCATATTTTTTTACATTAGACTTCCAACTTGAGTCTTGACGTGAATAAGAATTATATAGTTGAAGTTGAGTCGACTAGAGGAAGAAAAGTTTTATGAACATGAGTCGACTAGAGGACGAATATTTTTAATATTATTAATTAAGATATTTTTTGTTTTTACATTTTTTACTTTAGACTTCCAATTGAGTCGTGAATACAAATTATATAGTTGAGTAGATTAGAGGACGAATAGTTCAAATTAATTGTTATTATTTAAGATTCTATTATTTACATTTTTGTACTTAAAAATTTTAACTTGAGTCGTCAATTTGTGTCGACTAGAGGACGAATATTTTAAATTAATTATTAAGATATTTGATCTGTTATTTACATTTTATTACTTAAGACTTCCAACTTGAATCATGAATACCAATTATTTACTTCATTAACTTATTCCTCATTTTACTTGATCAAATAAATTCTTATTAACATTTTTTGATTGAATACTCAAAAAAATTCTTATTTACATTTTTTTGATTTAATAATATTCTCAAATAATAAAATATTTTGCAGGTATCTGAATATTTTGAAATTATATCTCAACCATATTTTGAATTTTATGTAAGACAGACATGTGATAATAATCAAAACTATGAGATGACGTGTGAATCTTCTTTAGCATTCCTTCTCATCTGTATTTAATATATATTAAGTATATTTATAGTCCCTCTTTTAGGTAATTATTTTATTTAGTCATTCATGGTTAATAACTATTAAAATATTTTAATAATATCAAATGTACTTGTCCAAGATACATATATAAAATTAGAAGAAAAAAATAAATATACGTGTTTAAAAAATAGCGATAAAATTAAACAAATCTGGCCAGAAAGTTCGTATTTAATTCTGAACTATGATAGGACATAGCGATACTATTACAGTGAAGAGGGGGATATTTTTCACCAGATGTTAAAACAAAATAAAAGGATGTTATTATATTTTTATTTTAATGATACTTAAACATTAATCTATGTTAAAAAAATATTAAACAACTTTTTCAAAAAATGCCACACTTGAAGTTTATAATTAAAAAAACTTTTTTAACATAAAAAAAAACATATTTTTTCACATATCATTTACATAATTTAATATTTTTGTATATTTAATTTAATATTAATTAATTTTTCAATCTTTACATATATAATGTTTAATATAGACTACTTACTTTATAATTTTAATAACTCTCCTTTATTCCCAAGTACTTCTGTAAATTATTCTTTGCCAATCTCAGATGGGAATGATATGGAAAATTATCAATCACATTCTAGCATTTCTGCAAATAATAATTCTTTAGCAACTATTAATGAAAATATAAATCATTCTCAATTATCCTCCATTCCTAAACCCAAAAGAACATACAATTGTTGGAACAAAGATAAAATTGAAATGGTAATGAAAATTTTAGCAATGCCAGAGGAAGAACAGATGAAGATTAAGGACATTGCTAAATATGTTAATATGTCGAAGGCCTCAATACATAAAATAAAAAGGGATACATTCCCAGAAATTATTGGTGAGCCTTTAAAGGAATTCTCTCTTAAACAAAGAGGGAGAAAAATAAAAGATACAGCGAACATTGAAAGGCAAGTTATGGATTTGCTAATAGACAATAATACCTTCACGGTGAAGGATATAATTGAGAATTTGCCTTCTGGTTCTCCAAAAAATATTGCAACCATAAGGAAATATATCAAAAACATCCGATGGTCCACAAAAAGAGCTGGGAAAGAACCGGATCGCAGGAATACACCAGGAGCTATCAATATTCGGCAGGTGTATTGCCGCAAATTGCTGAACATCTCCAGAGAAAGACTCTATTTTCTCGACGAAACAGGCATCAATTTTCATGTTGTACCTGTCTATGCTTGGGCACCACTCAATGTTAGACCAACAATAAAGGTTCCATCCTCAAAAGGGCAAAATGTAAGTGTACTTTGCACTATAGGAATTTGTGGAGTTATACATTATAAAATCATCGAAGGATCATATAATGGTATATTATTCCGAAATTCGTTAATGGAAATTATTAGTATGTTACCACCAGATGCCATCTTAGTTATGGATAATGCTTCTATACATAAAAGTCATCTAATTGATGCCTTTAAAGAGAGAATAGACTATCTCCCCCCATATTCACCACAATTGAAAATTTTTTCGGGGTCTTCAAAAACAAATATAGGTAATTAATTCCCAGACCAAGCACAAAGGAGCACATAATAACAAATATTAATCAAATTATGCATCAATTTATTCCTTATGATTTTACAAATTTTTATAATCATATGCAACAATATTTGGAGCTGGGCTATCGTGGACTACCTATTGACTAAAGTAATCTAATTATATAATTAATTACGATTAACATTTTTTAATATTTTAATTAAATAGGTACTACTAAAAGCAAGCAATTTATGACTATGAACTACCATGAAATATTTCATATTTTATATAATCAATATTCATGTATTAATGTAATTACGAATTTATTATATAATGTTTATATGTAATATACGAATTGAATAAAATATTAAAATAAAGTTATGTCTCAAATATGATAAAATAAAGTGAGAAAAAAAAACTATTTTCAGAAATAAAAGATTTTGACTAAGATCTAATAACTAAGATGAATAATTTATCATTATTTTTAAAATTATTCTACACAAAATATCGTTATCTAAGTAAAAGAAAATATGTGAAGACAAAACTTTATATTTTTTTATAAAAAAATTTTTTAAGTGTGACATTTAAAATAGTTGTTTAATATTTTTTAACATAGATTAATGTTTACAGTATGATTAAGATAAAAATATAATACAGTGAAACGATACACATGTTTAAATATACTATAAAAGGGGGTAAACAAAATAAGATTTTATTTTTAATAGAATAAAGATTGAAATTAAATATGGACAAGCAATTAATTAAGAAGATTAATAGTTGATTAATCATTATAAAAAAAATGTGTAATTTGTGATGAAAAATGAATTTTTTTTTTTATTTTCTTTGAGAATGCTCAAGTAAGATATTTGATTAAATTTCATTTAAAATTCTAAATCATTTTTTGTAAAAAGTCTTTTTAATATTTGAAAATATTTTAGAATTTCTTAAATGTAATCTATTTTGTATATACATTTATTTCGATAAAAATATGATAACACTATAAACTTTTATAATAATTTCGATAAAATAATTAATACATAAAAAATATAATTATAATTTATCAAACATTTGTTGTTTTTCCGGCATTAATAACATTTTGGTAACTATATCTAATTTTTCTTTATTCCAATATTTGTGTATTCTTTTCGGTCTTTGAATTCTCGACGAAGATTGGGAGTTTTCATTTAAATTGGAAAAATTAGTATTACTATTGGATAATAAAGATTCTATATTAAACATTTTTTTTTATTATTTAAGAAAAATTAAAAATAATTAATATGTAAGTATTTTAATTTTTTATTTTGAATTAAATTTTAACACATTTTTTTTATAATGATTAATCAACTATTAATCTTCTTAATTAATTGCTTGTCCATATTTAATTTCAATCTTTATTCTATTAAAAATAAAATCTTATTTTGTTTACCCCCTTTTATAGTATATTTAAACATGTGTATCGTTTCACTGTAATATCCTTTTATTTTGTTTTAACATCTGGTGAAAAATATCCCCCTCTTCACTGTAAATCTAGACATACTGACACATTTAATGAAGGTGTCATGACCGGTCTGTTTTTTTGAATCCTCTTTTTCTAATACCGGAAATTATTTTAAAACTCAAAAAATAGAAAAATTCTATTATGATTATTTACTAGATTAGATTGTAAATATATTTTATTTTTAAACAAAATATTTTTATCTGGGATGGCATTGTGTGTTTTTATTGATTCAATCGATCCTCATATGTTTAAGTTTTATGACATTTTTTTAAAAAAATTTTAAATATAAAAAAAACAAAAATGCATACATGTGTTGTATATAAATTATATTTTTAGCATGTTAATGAATATAGTATATTTATATTTTCTATAGTCCTTTCATTTTATAAATAAAAAATTTGCTTTTAATTCGTTTTTGATTATTTTATAATAGAAAAAATTGACCTAAACATAATATATATGTTTTTAAATGATTAATAAAATCATTTTAAGTATATTTAATAAATCTATATGAGTC